GGGGGCGCGAGGGGCGCGGGCCGGGGCGCCGAGGTTCCGGGAGGGCCTGGCCGCCGCCCCGCAGGCCCCACCGGCCTGGCCAGGCCCCGGGAGCGCGGACGCGCGGCCCTCGGCGGGGCGGCCCACCGCGGTCTTGGCCCCAGGCCAGCGCCCAACTGCTCTCGAGGCCTTGCCCTCCAAACAGTGGGTTCCTCGACGGTGACCAGACCCCACTTTGCCAGTCACACCCATGCACGTGAGAGGGGCGACGTGGACCTGGGTTCCCTTCCAGGCCGCTGCTTCTAAATGGTCAAGGAGAAATGCAGGCTCGCCCTGCCCGCTGGGGGCCCTTCCTCAGCCCACCACTTGTGACAGTGGGAGCAAGCTGTCCCTCCAGCCTTCTACCCAACTTGGGCAGAGGAGACCCACACCTGAGTCACCTCTCTGGGAAGGAAAGGCCCTCTGCATGGGTTGGGAGCACTTGCTGAATGGTGGAAGGGCCCCTGGTGTCGGAATAGGAAGACCTGGTGGAGGCAGGGGTCCTGACTTCTACACGGTTCAGGGTTTTTTTTTTGAAAATAGCCATCTGTTACCCCCTCTTCCCTCCGCCTGGTTGCTCAGGGCTGTCGGCACCCTTCTCAGTTCTGTACATCACTCCTCTTATTTTGAATTTCTTCTTCATCCATCTTGAAAACAAACAAAAAAGCAAAGGCAACTCCGTACATGATATTCCACCACTGACCTCCCAGCTGCCCCACCCCCCTTGTCATGGCCCAGGAGCCACCTTCCATCTTCCCTGTCTGCACCCTCTTGTCCTACTTCCCAGGAGGCTGGGCCACCCCCACCCCACCTCCTAGCAGCTACTGAGGCTGGAGTGGCAGCAGCCTGAAGCCAGGCCTTTGTGTCTGCTTTTGTCCTGCAGTGCCCAGCTCAGAGCAGGCATCCCCAAATAGCTGTGGAATGAGTGAAAGGAATTCCTTTGAAACCCGGGCTTTTCTGACATAAAAGTCAACACTAATTGGGTCTTATTTTCTTCAAAAGATTCTAGAGCAGCCGAATGTTTTCACACATTTGTAAAGGGTACTAAGAACGGCATGAAGATCTATCACTCTTTTTTTTTCTGTTTGCAAATACACTGCAGACAGGCGCATGGCACTCCGGAGGGGGCTGAGACAGCTGGGGGATCTGCCTAGAGGGTGACAGACCAGAGTGTGTCCCCATGAGCGAGGCAGGACTTTCCACAGGCCAGGCTTCTGGAAACCCCATGAGAAAACACAAAGGCAGAGTATGTCCAGGGGCTATGAAGCCAGAGGGCAGAGCTGGAGCCGTAGGTGGAGGTGGGTGCGGGAGTCTGGTTCACTCTAACCACTTTTGCAAACAGAGGAGGGATCCCAGAAGCAATTCAGAAAGCCAGGTCTGGCGGTTTTTCTGCACAGGGAGTTGGGAGAAGAGAGAAGCTGTCAGTGGAGATCAGGTTGGAGAATTTTCCTTCTAGAATTCTCCCATATTTAAGAATAGACTGGATAACCTCAATGCCCCCAGGCAAGAAGGAACAAGATGATTCAATTCAACCAATATTTGTCGAACACTTATTACACACAATGCAAGAGGAAAATGTTGTACGATGGTTAGAAGAAACTATTTCTGATTCTCGTTTTAAGCCACTCCTGAATTGAAGAAATCCAAACCAAACAGAACGCTAAGGAATTATTCCACTTCAAATGCCTGCCAATTCCTCAAGATGCAGCTTGTGACAGATACAAATAGATTCCAGGAAAGTACTTGCCCCTTCTCCCTGCAGACTTCACAGGCTCTACATTAAACAAGACAGGCAGCACGTTGTTTAGATAATTTTTTATGAAGGTATAATCCACAACTTAGTATATATTTCACTGTCAATGAAAAATTTACCTCTATTTAATTTTCTTTGAAAAATGAAAGTTTAAAATAAATGAGCAGATCTTTAACACAACCCAAGGAGCAACTTAGGTTTCTGATGACTTGGGACCCATTCCATATTCTACTGGGTGTTCAGACCTAACTTAGAAACAGAGGAAAAGATTGGAAACTTCTGGAAGAAATCAGAGCACGGTTTCTGGGACTTATTAGGAAGTGTTTTTGGTATAGCTCTAGGACAGGTTTCTGCAATCACATCATGTAAGATGGCTCCAGGTATCTGAAATGTGCATTTATATGCTAATTTCATGCCAGAGTCCACCCACATAGAATCTAATGCCTGCTTAGACACCGCTGAGCTCCAGGAGGTTCCCAGTTCCATTATATCCACTATGAGAAAAGGTTTCATGATTTCTGGCATTTTCATTCATCTCTTCTTACACTCAACATACATTTATTGAACATGAATTTTGAATAGCTCCAGGCCTGATCAAACTTTGGGGGCTCACATGTACGTGTGTGTGTGTGTATGTGTGTATACGCATTCCCTCCCCAACACACACAGCAAACAGTGATAAAAATCCAGAAACTCAGCCACTAAGAGAAGGCCGCTAGAGAAGGCCTCATGGACTAGGATGAGACCTCTGACTTGGGTTTTAATTAGTTCAAGTGTACCAAGCATCTGACCCCTGCCTATGGAAACATTCACACAAAGTCCTGAAGTGGAAAAGGATGTCATCCATCCGGCACTGTCCAAAGCTCACATGGCAGGATATAAAGTGCACCCAAGCGCCTAAGATATACACTGAGCTGTAAAGTTTGCACTTGACCTTGCGGGTAACTGAAAGCCAGTAGCACCTCAGTCAGAACTAATGTGAAATGAGGGCAGGTCTCATTCCTGGTTGACAATCACCTGCTACCTCGTGAGCACAGAGGAAGCAGAGGCTGGGTCTCTCCGATGACCTCCCTCCATCACACTGTGCGGAGCCGCAGGCCTGGAACTGAGTCCCGACTAGCCAACCGGGACACACGTGTGAACCTCCTGAGCACTGCCCTGGGCAGTGGATGTTTGCACCTTCCCACACCACGTCCAGGGTTCCTGGACATCAGGAAGTGCCTTGGTTACATTTTGTAACTGGTGGCGCCAGACGTGCCACCTAGATTTGCACTAAATGTTCCCTGAGGGAAGGAAAAAGAACTCACTGCCATGAAAAGCACATTTCCCTAGAAAGGTTTTTGAAAAATTCATTAACTTATGGAAAAGCTGAAAAACTAGTATAATGAGCACTCGCATGCCCTTCGGCTAGATTCATTCATATACATATATATTCACCGGCACATGTGTATGTGTGCACATATATTTAAAGTAAGTTGCATACAGTCACCCCTAAGTGGCTCAGTGCATCTCTTAGGAACAAGGACACTGCCCACACATTCACAGTAATGTCCCAATCATACCCATGGAGATTTGACATTGACCTAATACTATCATAGTATACACCCACACTGAAATTTCCTTAATTGTTCCCAGATGTCCTGGATTCTTTAAATCCAGAATCCAAATAGAGATGAGGCGTTCCATTGGATGGCCAGGCCTCTGGTCTTCTTCAGTCCAGCACAATCCCTGCCTTTGTCCTTCCTGGCATTGACATGTCTTATAGGAAGTCTCACACTCAGGATTCCTCTGTTCCCTCCTGGTTAGATTCGGGTTCAATATTTTTGGCCCAATGCTTATTTCGTTTCCCACCGTGCCTCATTAGTCATGGGTCCCCCATCACTGGCTGAGGCTGGTTTCTTGGTGTTAGTGGGGACTGCCAGAGCTCTATAAGATAAAAGTGATTTCCCCTCTTTATAATGGGTAGGACAAAAATCAATGTTCTATTTATAACCTGTGGGGCGACAGCTGGAGACCATTAGAATGTCCTGGTTTCCAGCGATCTTTCTCTACTCTTGATAATGACCTGGGCCTGGATCAAGTGATGGCTGCAACATGGTGGTTTTCTACTGTCATCCCTTCTACATTATTACCCTGGATTTCCTTAGCAAAGACCACTCTGCTTCCCCAGGGCTGGCGAGCTGATTCATGGAATTCAGTGTAAAATGAAAACCAAAGAGAATTAAAGATGGCCCCAGTAGGGCATTAAACCAAGCCCAGGGCCACATAACTGCAGTGGCTGCACACCCACGAAACAGGCCCTGCCCTGGGATGCACCTCTGAACCCACGTGGAATTGCGTACGTACCCTTCAGTGCCTCTGCTCTAGCGTCCCTATGCCAACAACCAGGCTAGCCCCCTGTCACCTTGACACCTTCTAATGGGTTTTGAGGACTTTGTTCCTTTCTGCAATAATAAGATTTGTTCCTGCCCTGGCCCAAATCTAGTCACCCATTTCTCCGGAGTGGGGAGTACTTGGTCAGAAAGCGAGGGTATGGGAATGCTAGCTGCTTCTGGTCCTCCTGGGGGTCGAGGTACAATAACAGCATGAGCTCATGATGACTCCTTTTATCCAACCCCACACAGGGCTCTTCCTCGCCTGCCCACCTCCCCTGCTTGTACCTGGGAGACGACAGGCTCCCAACCACCCTCTGGGTTATCACGGGTCCTTGCGACAATCCTGCAACTTTATCCTGGGAATGTATCCACTGGTGAGAACCTCATTTTCATGTAGCTTATCAAGTACATTTGGGCCCTCTGTTTGTATTCCATATTAATGGTTTGC